CCCCCCCCCCAAGCAGACCAGGGAGACGCGTGCGGCGGGACGGCCAAGACGCGCCGCGGTCCAGCCACCCGCGTCCTCCATGGCGAGAAAAGCCCCGTTCGTATGTAGGGATCCGACATAAGTCGGATCCACGTAACTCGGGGACTGCCTGTATTTAGAACACAATTTTGCAATCCTTGTAACTTGACCTATCTACACACAAGCTGCACTGGTCAAACTAAAATCAGTTTGAAAACCTCTCATGAAACTGGCAGAATCTCCTGTATGGTCATACTTATACTGGCTTAAAACAATCTACAGATTTAGCTTTTGAGTGTAAGCTAAACTGATGGAGGCCTATATAAGAATGTGCGGACAGAGTTCTACACCAGTTTAAAAAACAATACAGATTAGTTAAAATCAAAGCAACTATATGTTTAGACTTGGCTTTGCGTCCACCATAATCTGGTCAAGTATATAAGTAAAGACATAAAATAATGATTTGGTAATTCTACATTGCAGGATAACAAATCTTTTCTGATAGTTAACAAATTGAAGATATCAATAATCTGATCCAACTAGCTCAGGGATTTTATTTTGTACACCAGGAGAGGGAAATAAGAGTACTGACCCAAATAATCACAAAGATTGGTTTTCAAGATGAAAAAGTCTTACTTATCCACAGAAAATTCCCCTCCTTCACCCTTCTCTTCAGCAGGTTTATCAAATCGGCGTTCACGAGGAGGTCGTCTCTCCTGTCTCCTCTCAATAGGCTTCCCTTCAGTCTGAGGCTGCTGCTGATCAGGTCTTCTGCCAATTCGTCTTATACCTAAAATAGTAGGCAATCTGTATCAGCAAATTATTGAGCAACTAAGAAATTGTGACTACCTGTACAAAAGCAAACCACAATACAGAGCTGATATTCAGGTTTTCCTTCCAATCTCCTGATGACCAGGAAGTTTGAAAGGATTTCCTTTAAGTATTTATTTTATGCTTCCTACCACAATTATCACTTCAAAATGTTATTTATCTCCTTATACAGCATTGTATACATTTGTAAAGAAACTTTGGCATGGAAACCCCCCCCCCCAACTTGCTACTGGGCTGGAGCAACCATCTCCCTGCATCAGGCATAAAGCTGCTCCAGTCCCACTGTTAAACTGAACTGGTATGCCTTACCCTTAATGGTTGAGGCTTACCTGTTGACCAGTAACATGCCTAACTCAAACTATAGGTAAGTATTGTGGCAGAAAATCAATATTAAATTCATCAACTGCTTGGACATTGCTCAGAGGACACAAAGAAATAGCCCAAAGCAACAAAACCTTTGTCACTGCTTTGGTGCACATTAAAGGAAGTCAGTCAGATGCACTAGAGCTCTGCTTTGAAGTATGGATGGATCAAAGCGCCTTTATATCACCTTTCTACTCAATTATCATTCATCCTAGGAATGATAAAACAGCTGGGGATTGCCAAAGCTCTATGTGCACTAACCAACCATGTCCTACCCAAGGTATTAGTGGGTTTTGTACTAGTATTACTAAAGTGACACATATAAAACAAAGGCACATGAAGTGTGGTGCAAACTGATGGTACAGCACCTTTACTATAAAAGCCATTTGCTCCTTCTGCATCCAATCAAAGCATTTCTACGGTTCAGTCTGCACACACAGCAAATAGTAGGTATGTAAAGCACAGTCAGCAAAACTGTCTTATCCCAGGAGACTGTCTTGGCTATGACAATCTCGGGACCCACTGAGATGCAGGGCCATTCATGTGGTTCACTAGCTAGCCCAGGTTGCCCATCACTGCTCCAGGATGTCTAGAGGACTCTAAATGGACAATCCTATAGTAGTGAGTTAGCTTACTGCTCTTTAGAATGAAAACAGTTCACCAGAATAAATTTATAATAAACTTGCCTTCTATTCTGGCATTACCTTCCATAATAAGCCACATCATTTCAAAGCAACAGAAATGTCTTGATTTCTGTTTCTTTGCTGAACACTATATTTAGAGAATTTTAAATATTTAATTTCCCACTTCACACTACTAAAGTTATTTGCATGAAAAAGGACCTGTTTATTGATACTAATAATCTCATGGTGTTGGTTCCTTACATGGAACAAAGATATTTGAGATCTTCAAAGCTAGGTATGTAAAAGACCATTATGAGTTCATAAGTTCTGCTCAGAAGGTGCAAACCCCTCACCCCCCCAAAAAAAACCCTAAGAGAGATCCTTTTTATGCAAATCTCGTTTAGTTCAGCATGACGAAAATACACAAAAGCTGTTTTATCAAAAAACAAAAACAAAAGAACCACACATTTCCATGAGACATCAGCCGCTTTAACATGAAAGCTAAACAAGCAGGGGAAAAAAAAGCAACACACCCACCAAAACTGTGTAAAAAAAAAAATTTAAATTATGATTAAGTTCTGAAAAAAGCCATCTTCTTCATAAACCTATTCAATTATTTGTCTTAAGTCATAACAGTACAGGATTGAGAATTCAACAATATTGTCTTTAATTGCAAATTTAAAACTGGCTTATTTCAATTTCTAACAAGTCAATTGAACAAAATCCTGCAGAACAAGCACTGCCATATTTGGGTGGAGCGATAAGAACTAGCATGTTTGTAATAATATTCAAGCCCCACACACCCAAATGAACAATAACTTCTTTAGTATACAGACATGTTTTTCCAAGACCCAAACTCTTTTGCTAGTAATCCTTTTCCATATGAAAAGACAGAAGTTTAAACCCACTGAGATTTACTTTAAATAAAACTCTTTGGACGAAAAAAAAAAGTGTTCTTGATTTTACAGATACAAAGGTGAGGAAAAAAAGAAATGAAGTGACTTGCCTCAGACTAGGAATGTTAAATTGCATTTAATCAGCTAATCAAGCAGTCAATGGAATTTCCAAAGACTACTGATTAGTCAATAAAGGGGGGGGGGACCTGCAGAGCTGCAGCGGGGTTAGCTCCCGGCCCTGGGGAGCTCACCCCACTGCGACTCTGCCTTTTAAATGTATTGAGAGCCTGGTGGCTCTTAATACATGTAAAAAGCAGAGGCACTGGGTCTGGGACCAGGTGCAAGCTGGGAATCAGCTGATACCTGGCTTGTGATAGGGATGTTAAAATTAATCATCTAATTCAATAGTTGATGGAATTTTCATCCACTATTCAATTAGTTGACAAGGGCGCTTCAGCTGCTGAAATGTGGCAAAAGCCTGCCCGGCTGTTGTAACATTTAAAAGGCAAAAGTGCCATGGGCAACCCACCTTTGAAATGTACAAAGACCCTCTGATGGAGTTCTGTGCATTTCAAAGACTGAAAAGCTGCCTGGGCCAGCGAGGGACTGAGTCCCTCGCTGCCCCAGGCTTCATGCAGCGCTTCCACTTTGAAACATACAAGAGCCCCAGGGAGGACTCTTGTACATTTCAAAGGCAGAATGCTGCTGCTTCACCACTGCCATCTTTTAACCTGGCTCTCTCCAGCACCCTCTCCTCTCCCCTCCACCCCCAACTACCTCTTTTTGATAGACAGAGCAAAGGGGGAGGAGGGGAGTGCGACAAGTCGACTATCCGATAAGCTTTTGATTATCGGATAGTTAACTAGTTACTTACATCATCACCTCAAGTTGTACAGGACACATGCTGCAGAACTTGGAACTGAGCTTAGATCTCAAGAGCCCAAGTGCTTTAACCATAAAAACCCTCATTCCTAGCACAGCCTTTTTTATGAGTTCCTGACTTTGCAGGTCTCACTTCTTATATTTTTAGACTGTAATGGGGAACTTCAGGTCCAGGGGCCTGATGCAGGCCTGGATGTGGCCCCCAAGGCTCAGTACCCCTACCCAGCATTGGTTTGCCTACATTGGCACTTCAGCCCCCCTGCTGCCCCACTGTGGGGCTGGAAGCACAAAATCTACTAGGCTGGGCCCCCTAGGCTCCGGTGTGCACTTTTTGTGTGTACCAGCACATACAGTTTAAAATGCTATTAAAACTAGGGATGTTAACTATCTGGTAACTGAACAATTGTGTAACCGCATGAAATCTTTACAGGTATACGACTACTCGATAGTCCCCGAAGGGTGGGGGGAGGAGGGCAGCAGCCAGCACGCTCTTGGTCCCACATCCGGGGGACTCCCTGCCATCACACACTGCTGCCTCCATCAAAATTTAAAAACCAGCTCCCCTCATGGACCGGCTGCCCGTGGTCCCATGCTGCTACCTCTGAAACAGAGGCCTCAGTGTGTGGTAGCAGAAGCCCCTGTCAGGGGCTGGGGGAGGGAGGGAAGAGAGAAGGGGGAGGGGTTTCCAAGCTTCCTATTGACAGAGGCTGTTCCATGGGATGTGGAGCAGCCTGTCAATATGGACCTTAAACCCCCTCATGGACAGCAGCTGCTATCACAAAGCAGCCTCCACCTGTGACAGGCCCAGGTTCACCGTGGACAGAGACTGCTCAGGGAGATGCAGAGCACCTGCTGTTCACGTGGAGCTCGGGCCACACAGTCAGGGGCTGCTCTGAGGCAGCCTCCTCTTCCTTCCTCCCCTCACCCTCCGTGCTGCCTCTCAGAGGGGAGGGAGCAGGTGGCACGGTGGTGCCGGGGGGGAGAGCCAGCTTTCCTGACTCCTGTTTCCACCCCCCCTTGCTGCCTCTGATACAGAGGTATCAATGGGTGGGGGGAAATGCAAGTAGTCAATAATATTAACCAATAAACCCCAGCTTATTGGTTAATCAGATAGTTGGCTACTCATTGACATCCCTAATTAAACTAAAACAAAACATTTGTGTTCTACAGAAAATTAGGGATGCTCACACACCTGAGTGAATTTTCCCTTATTACAATGTGCAAAGTTTAAAACTTCACTTATCTTTATCATTCTAGTGAATGGACTTACCACTACTAGATTTCTACTACGAAACCCTGAAATACTAAGCTATTTCTTTCCATCTGGAAACTGTTCATTGGAACAAACGACCAAAAAAGCCCTTATGATAGTTATCTCAAAGGTCAAAATATTACTACTCTGTAGCTTTACTCAGAAGTATTACCCACAGTTAAAAGTGTATTTCATGCAGAAAGACAGAGAAAGCTTATGTTGTCTGGTTTTTCAAAAAAGCTATTAGATTAGTAATCATCAGTTGGTATATTCTGAACATGTTATTCCTCTGCTCAGGAAAAAAATCCAACTACAAACTTTGTTGTGCAAAATATTCATAGGTCCATTAAGATAATAAAAAATGTCTCAATTTCTCTTAAAGGCTTTACTTAGTACTTTGTTAAAGCGACCAATATTTGGTTAAACCTATTCTTGCTCTTACCAAAAGTCCTCTTTCTCCCCCTCTTCCCAAAAACCACTGACATTATTGTTCTAACTATTGTTCATGCCTGTTAGAAGCTGAGAGTGGGTAGGGAGGGTAGCTATCACTTGATAATTGCCTGTTCTGCTGATTCCCTCTATGGCAGTGTTTCTCAACCAGTGGTATGAGTACCCTTAGGGGTACTCAAGAAAAGTCTGAGGAATACATCATTACAACTGAAATTTGGAGAAAACTAAATTTTTGTTTTAAGTTTTACAGCACTATTATTTTTGTACTTTTTACACCAAAAAAATTAATTGCTCACCTGGCTACATTTAAGTTGTTTAAACAAATGTGTTGCAATGGTAGAAAAAATTGTGTGTCTGAAATCTCTAGGTACTGGGGTACTTAAAAAAAAAGTTATAAGGAGGGCACTTTATAAAAAAAAAAAAAAAACCTTGACACACACTGCTGTAGGGCACCTGGCATTGGCCACTGTCAGAACAAAGAATACTGGGCTAGATGGATTTTTGTATGGCCATTCTTATTGCAGTGTACTTTCTCTCTCTAAAAGAAATGCAATGTATCGATCTTTAGTACTGTAATTATTTTAACTCTTCTTGTTAGCAATATTAAGAGTTTATTGTATTTTGGTTAAATTGTAATTCTTATTAGCTTGCTAACTAGTTCTTTATCCAAATATTACTGAGCACATTCAACACTCAAATTACATGACTATTACAAATTTAGGCCACAATCTTTCAGTCAGGCATGGGCTGAAGTTTGTGTACATAAATAACCCTTAATCACTGGCTTTCTAGGGAACCTCCCTGTGCCTCAGTTTTGCCATCTGTAACATAGGGATTATAATTATTTCCTTTCTAAAGTATTGTAAGAGCTAATGATGAAATGTGTCATCTGTCAATGAATGATAAATTAAGCAAGTGTTTTTGCAGGATCAAGCCATAGAAAAGTAAGTCAAAGACATTTGTTTGGTCACTTTTTTATACCTTCATTTGTTCATAAGAGAAATGAAACTTTATTACAGTCCATAAAAAGGTTTACCATATACACTCAAATAAGTGTAGCTTCAGTAATTACGCATCTGAAAAAACAATGTATTTTATTAATCACAATCCCAATTAATGTCATCCTTAGGGGGAAAAAACAATATTCCAGAATGAATATGAAAGGCTATAAATACTGAAAAGAATCCAGAATAAAACTGATAAATTTACTATTCAATGGACCACATCCTGGGAGATGCAATTTAAGCTTAATATCTGATAAATTCATATTTCCCAAGTGTTCTTTTACTCATGCTTCTCTTATCAGTTAGGTGAGTACCCCAATTCAACAATGAATCTTACAAGAACTGGGTCCAAACATAAAAAATTAAGACAACAGATGCACCACAAATTAAAAAATACCATTTTGAGTCTCTCACCCAGTGGAAGGTGGCAGCAGTTAACGAAGTTAAGGGTTGGGGATAGGCAACATACTGAAAACGCACATGGCTCAGGTATAACTAGTTCAGCTTTGCTAAACACACACAGGCGACTACTCTGCTTTTTAAAAAAGTGATGCAACTCCCCTTGGAAAAACAGACTCGACTGATAATTTTTCATCCCAACACTTTAAGGGCGCCAGCCCTTCTCGAGGGCTGCCACTCCACCCAGACCTTCGTCCTTAACAGGGTCATCCAGCCATCAAATGTCTTTTTGTACAATTCACCGGGGCCAAAAGTATTGGGTAATATAAAAGCATTAGCAGGCCTCACTCTTCTTCCTAACCCCAGATAGCTGGGTCACCCAGAGCCCCTCTACCCACCTCCAGCAACTAAAATTATTAGAACAGCTTCCATCCGTCCCGCACCCCCACTTAGATGCAGCCCTTCCTTCGCAATAGCCATGTGCGACAGACAGGCCTCACTTCCCCCCACGTGGTAGATGCAGCGGCCCCAGAGCGCGACTATTTCACCCCACCACCCGCAGGGCCAGGTGTTGTCTCTGCGGGGCTCGAGCAGGTGCTGAGACTCTTAGAAACTCCGCAGTTCAGCCTCCGCGGCCAGACCGTGTGTGGGGGGGTGTGAGGGGCTGTCACAGCCCGCGGACGGCAGCTTCTCCCTCGAGGGACGCGCAGCCCGTGGCGCACCCCAGCAGGCCCGAGGGGGTTAAGGACTCTCTGCAGGTTGCTCACTTGAGCCCCCACATCAGGGGTCACAGCCGCCCTCCCCAAGAGGAATAGGCGGGGCTCGAACTCAAGATTCTCCCGCGCCCCGCACCAGGGCCGGGCGCGCTACCGCATGTCTCGTGCCCCACGCTCCGGCGTATTAGCCGCGGGGTCCCCGCCGCCGCCCGCTGGCCCCACTCACCTTCCTTCCTGAGCGGCGCGGCGGGCTGCCCGCTGCCCTCCTCCCTGCGGTCGCCGGCGCCCCCGGCCGAGGCGGCGAAGGGGGGCAGCGGGTTCTTGCGCTCTTTCTGCGACTCCCTGCGCAGCTGCTTGGCTGCGCTACTGTTGCCGCCGCCGCCTCCCCCAGTCTGGCCCGGGCCCCCGCTGCCGACCCCGCCAGAGGAGTTAGCCTGGGCCGCCTGCCCGCTGCGGGCCCCGCCGCCGCCCCCCTGGCTGCCGCCGCCGCCGCCGCTCTCCTTCCTCCGGCTCTCGGCCGCCCGCAGCACCTCGAAAGGGTCCGACTCGTCGTCAAAGAGCTGGTCGAACCGGTTGGTGACGACGCAGCCGAACCCTTCTTGCAGGTGTCCGGGCATGATGGGCCCCTCTCGGCGGGATCCTCCTCCGATGCTGCCCAGGCCCCAGCCCCCTGCTCGCGACACCACACAAGATGGCCGGCCCCAAAGAGACCCGCTTCTCTTCCGGCGCCAGGAACAGCCGGGCTTTGCCGCGCGCAAAGCATCGCGGGAGCAGGAGGCCCCCTCCAAGCCACGGGAGCCCCGCGCGGCTGGAGGGGCGGGGCTACGATTCCCAGCAGGCCACGCGGCCGAGCGCCGTGTTGGGGCGGAGGAGAACGCGCGCTGGTGTGTGGCGCGAGGAGACCACTGCGGGCGGGGGGAGGGGGACGAGAGAACGTGAACCAGCCACCTGTCTCGAGTAGGCCTAGTTCCCCCTCCCCCAGGGCACGGCTGCCGTGGCTTCCCAGGCGGGCCCCCACGTGGCCAGGCTGGCCGCCCTCCCGCGCACAGCAGCGGGGCAGGAGGTTGTTGCGGGGGAAACAAGGCCCCGCACGAGCCCAGCCCTTCTGCTGCTGCAGCCCGGGCTGGCGTTGTTCGAAGTGCCCATCACTTTTAAAGGACGTTCCCAGCCGCTGTGTCCGGCCTCAGCAACCCCGTCTAGTCATGCATAGGGCAGCCCGGGCACTCGTACGTTTTATCAGCCGGGGTTTGCTACAGCCAGCTCCCGTCTACCCTGGAAGGGACACTGTCCTCGCCCTGCCTGTATCTAGACCACATGGATCTAGTGATTTCTCCCTCCCTCCCCCCCCCCAACGTATTTTGTTACTTGTTACAATGTAAGATTAATGATTGAGGGGTGGGGTGGAAGGTGGTGTGTTTTACTATGGGCATGATCTGAAAGCATCTGTGGGATAGTTTCAGGGTCTGTTTTCCTCCTGCCTGACGTATGAAAAACACTGAAAAACCCCAGGAAGATCTAACTTTAAAGCCATTTATTTAAATTGATAAATTGTCTTAATTTTACTTTACAGTTTATGCTTTTAGAAATTGTTTATGCTTTTAGAAATTGTCCAGATATCTCTGCATGGACAATGAATCAGTTTTAATACTTTAGATGTTAATAAAAAGGCTCCACTCCTCTAATGCGCTTTGCACCTATATAAACCCCTACTTAAACTGTGCAACTGTTTGCTCATATGGCTTTGTCTGAAATGCAGATTACATATTTTATGTAGCACGTCTATTAATGATATGGTCTGAGCTATGTTGTTCACTATACCCACCATACTGCGGGTGAAGATACGAAGATCACTGTGATGGCTGCTATCAAACCAGGGATTTCCAGAGCTGAAAGAACCAGTCCTGGCAGCTTGAGCTATGAGCTGTAGATGAGGACTATAACATTGTGTGGGAGTCAGGCCTTTCATAATACATTACACTAGCAATAATCAAAATGTAACACTGATCAGTGGTTATCAGAATCAGCTGTTGAAATGGAAAAAATTTATGAATACAAAAATCTACCTTAGAGGGTAACATCAGGGTTGGCAAATCTACAACTAAAACATTTTTGCAAGTTATACCACATTTTAATATATAAAAAGCAGAGTTGCTTGAAAGCTATTGAATATCAAATGCTCTAAAACAAAAAAAAAAAAAACCACAGACTGGCTATGTCTAGACTGGCATGATTTTCCGTTAAAAGCATTTACGGAAAAGTGTGTCTAGATTGGCACAGACACTTTTCTGCAAAGACGCTCTTTTGCGCAAAAAGCCCCGATCGCCATTTTCACAATCGGGGCTTTTTTGCGCAAAACAAATCTGAGCTGTCTACACTGGCCCTTTTGTGCAAAAGGACTTTTGCCTGAACGGGAGCAGCATGGTATTTCCGCAAGAAGCACTGATTTCTTACATGAGATAGTCAGTGTTCTTGTGTAAATTCAAGCGGCCAGTGTAGACAGCTGGCAAGTTTTTTCGCAAAAGCAACTGCTTTTGCAGAAAAACTGGCCAGTCTAGACACCGCCACTTAATATTAACATTGCTTAGTCATTGGTGCTTCAGTAATATAAACAAGCAATAAACAAAATCCAAATAGTTGTTGAACCTTTCAGTTCCTCATACTGAAGTGAGATTTAAAATAATAATAATAATAATAATAATAATTAATAATATCCATGTCTGCTACCTACCCAAAGGACCTCATCACAAGCCCAGTATGTACCTTCAGATAAGGGGTCAGTAGACACACATTGCATGAGGATTCCACTGCAAGTCTAGAATCACTTCTGAAATATTCTGCAAGAATCCTTTCAAGGACATTTAATCCTACTTTTAAAAGGACACAAACTTTTGTAGGGATTATACAAAGGATTACTCAATTTGACCACCCTATATTTACAATTTTCAGGTATTTCCTTATAATTACCTGTGTACCAAAATGTTATAAGATTATGTTGACAATTGCAAGGCAAGAAGCACAGAACTATGATTGACCATATTTTTATATGTTCAAATACTTTTATATGGTATTTTAAAATCTAATATATTGTCTGGATTGATAGCTATAAGTCTGAAATCGCTTAATTTATTTTTATTTTTAAGTTCCTAGCACAAATCCTTCAACACATAGCATGCAACCAGAAGTGGTCCTATGTGAGAAAATGTCATTGTAGCGCTCATATCCTCTACTGTTCAAATGCATTTACAAACAGAAATAACCGATTAGCAAATGTCAGGACTTTCATGTATAAAAGAGGAGGAAACAAATGTAGTGTGCTGTGTACTGAACTTAAGATGTCAATTGTCAAATCAAATAGATAACAATAAGAGGAGTCTTATATCATGATGAATATTTAGTCATAGTCCCAAAAGTAAGGCAGAAGATCATCTACATGTGAAATGCTAGGTGAATATTTGAATTCCCCCATCATGCAAACTCAATTAAAGGGTAAACATGTTCCAGCAAAGTCACTAAAGAAATGTATACCCAGGCTGTACAAGATGTATTAACATTGAAATTGATGGACTGGATCAGATCCAAAGTACATCTTGGCTATATCTACACAGCAGTGTATGTCTATACTGACGTTATTCTGAAATAAAGGGTGCGTTTACACAGCAAGCCATTATTTAGAAATAATGGTGAGCTGGAGGACTTCTTACTCCAACTCTTGTAACCCTTACTCCTTCTGTGTCTAGACTAGCCAGTTTTTCCCGGAAAATCAGCTGCTTTTCCGGAAAAACTTGCCAGCTGTCTACACTGGCCGCTTGAATTTCCACAAAAGCACTGACTTCCTATTGTAAGAAATCAGTGCTTCTTGCGGAAATACTATTCTGCTCCCGTTCAGGCAAAAGTCCTTTTGCACAAAAGGGCCAGCGTAGACAGCTCAGATTTGTTTTGCGCAAAAAAGCGTCTAGATTGGCACGGACGCTTTTCCGCAAAAAGTGCTTTTTGCAGAAAAGCGTCCGTGCCAATCTAGACGCTTTTTTGCGCAAAACAAATCTAGTGAACTGGAGGACTTCTTATTCCGACTCCTGTAGCCTTCATTTCACGAGGAGTAAGGGAAGTCGAAGGAAGAGTGTTCTTCAACTTCCTGCTGCGTAGCCAGTTCTAAAAGCCAAATTAAGCTATTTCAACTTCAGCTACATCAGCTCCATAGCTGAAGTTTAATAGCTTGATTTAACTTTTGCCTTGCTGTGTAGACATGCCCCTATAGTCCACTCTCCTGCGTCTGACAACAGTCAGTACCACATACTTCAGGGGACAATAAGAACCTTGCAGTATGCAGATTATCTGCTCTTAACACTGGTGTCATTCTGATCTGCAGCAGAGACTAGTTTAAACCCTGAAGCATGAGGTGTAACATCTTTCAATTTCTTCATAGTGATTTATATGGATATTAAATATACTCAATTACCATAAATGTCCTTTGTTAATTTGGTTATTTGTGGTTTATGGGACTTCCTATAGCAATTAGTTTCACACAAACTACACAGGGGTGTCCTTTTATTAGTTTTGAATTTGTCACCTTTTAATATACTTAAAGGTCTTGTCTACTTTTGTATCACGAGACAGGGAGAATACCTTAGTACTTGAGATGTACAAACCTATTCCTTAGGAAATCAGAAATTTGAAATGAAAATGTGGTACTATCTAGTCCATTCTGTGTGTCAACTCTTGCTCATCAAGACAAACCCAGCTTTGATTTAATGATCAGCTTTAGTTATTGCCTGCTTAGATTCTCTATAAAACATTTGGGTGATCATCTACCAGGACCTGGAATGAGAATATTCACATCTGACAAAGACACACATTCCAATTGGTACCATGATTTACAAACTCAGCAGAGGTTCTTAGATTAATAGACATGGATGCTGAACTACTTGGACTAATTAAAGGGTCTGATTTTGGCTACTGTACATACAATGTTAATATTCCCATTTCAGCACCAGACCATCTTGCTACAAAAAAGCCTACTTTTCTATAAACCTCCCCCATCTCCCTTATTCAGATACCCCTTAGCAGAGTTGCACTCACATAGTGGGACACAAATGTAAGCATAGACACATGCACAACTAGGTCAACACCAAGTCATCTTATACTGGCCTAACTTTGTAGTGGAGACCAGGTCTTCATAGCTTCACACATTCAAGAGCCTCAAGAATGACCTGTTTTTCCCTGCTTTTACCAAGATTTCTATTTAATACCTTGATTAAACTGTATTAAACTAAAGCACTAACAAAAACAGAAATAAAAGGTAATACTATATTTTTGAGAACTTTGGTGTATCAAAACAAATGTTTCAATTCATCTCGTAGACACCTACGCACCTAAAGGATGCTACAATCTGTTCATTCTGGCAATATCTCCTTACTAAAGAGTCAACATTCCAGAAAAGTAGGACTATAAGCCTAAGTGCTTCTAAAAATCAACATCTCCAAATTGGTTTTGGAAAAGTGTATTTCTTCATTTAGAGCCAACTAAACAGTTCCATCGCAACTGTTCATGCACCTCTTAGCAATATGCAAAGGAATAAATTAATAAGTAATCTCAACATTCCTAGTTTATGAGGAGAACAAAAGTAAACAACTAAAGCGTTAGCCATTTAGAGAGCCATAAAACTAAATCCAAATCACATTATGACTTTTGGTTAAGTCTTATAGTGTCAAACAAAAGTTTTCTAATAAAGTA